CTTTACTACTGTTTAATTCTGTGTGGTTGGGGAAGGTAAGGGTTAATCAGTTGGGACTCAAACTCACGACCTCCTGCTCACTAGTACAGATGTCTCAACCACTCGACCACCGAGCTTGTAGGCGTCAGCTGGCCAGACCATTCCTAGATGCATCATTTCCATACTAACTCAATGTTCAGACACTGAAATAATACGGTCTCAGTGTCCAGGACAATAACTATAATGCACCTAAAATCAACTTGGTCAAGATTTTACTGATCAATGCAAAATATCAGAAAAATGAGTGTTAATTAAACCATTCAAATTCATAAACTCTCTTTCCCCTAGTGAACTTTCCCGCCTCATTATTATGTAAAGAACGCAACAACAGGCTGACAATGGGCTTCTTATTGGTCTGTGCTTATTTATCACGGTGGTTTCTACTTCAATCCGCTTACCTTGTCAATGCAAGGAGTCACGCCAATCATGATGTTACCTCCGAACACTTTGCCGTTTTTACTGAGTGCTTTCTTGGCTTGTAGCTTGGAGCTGTATTGCATATGAAGCCAGTTCCCATTGCTGGCAATCTGATCATTGAAAACAGGCCACATTCAGAATTAGTTTACCAACACAAGCATTTTACTCAAGTCTAGGTTCAAATCAAGTCAAGCCTGACAAAAACCACCACTGGCCTCATGATGAACCATTTATTTCAACATGGATCAAAGTGTTTCATAATAGCAAGTAAGAAACAATGATGGCAAGATAAATGGCTGGGTTTGACCCTTGAAGCCCTAGCTTTCAATACTAGGCCTCAAGTCTGATGGATAGGACCACAAGGCTCATGCCTTCCAATATTTGAAAATGTTAAAACTCAATACTGGTTGTTCATACTTGATCTTACCACATGCTTGACGATGCTGCCATACTGAGAAAACTGCTGGATGATGTAAGATGTTGCAGCAGGTGGAAACCTGTCACAAAACGGAAGATCCTTCTCAATCATGAAAGTATCTACAAACTAAACTGGCAACTAGAATTAGAGACCATTATGATGGACCTTGCTCTATGGTACAAGCAACACACCTTCATTTAGGTCGTGTGTATTCAACACCTCTGCAGCCAGTACAGTGTTTAGTGCCTGCAAAAACCTTTGTACAAGTTAAATTAACCCTAACTCCTTAGGGTCATTTACTTGCCACCTTCCTTATCCTTGCAAATCTCAACACCATAAAGTAAACTGGGTACATAAACAGTTGGATTCTGTTTATTTGCAGTTTACTTAACCCCACATAAAACACAGCCAGTATACCAGAGCAGTACTCATCCTAACAGATTCCAACAAACCCTGGCGTTGGAGTTTGGTTGATTGGGGATTGTTAGGGTTAAGTATGTGTCCAGCACACATGTGAGAGTGATTCTACAAATGTGATGGTATCTCTGGGGATTAATCTATGTTGCTTTACCTTCCAGATGTTATGGCCTTGGATAGTTTTTGCAAGATTTCTTTGAAATAAAAAACTGTAGTTGAACTCACCCAAAGATGGTGACCCATGTTTCATCCAGGTGTTCGTCAGGAGTGATTAACTCTCTACATAATGATCAAAGATCACACTTCACTGAATGAAATGGTAATGCACATTTATTTTGAGGGAGATGTTTGACAAACAAATTAAGAGCATACGAAATTTCAGAAATAATCTCTGTGGGCAAATCTACAGGTGGAGTTTGATGGACATGGGCAATTCAATTTTGATGAGACTCACCCCTGGGTGTAGAATGGATCAATCTGAGCAGGTGATGAAGGTGTCTGCTTCACAATAAACTGTGACTGGGATGTCTGAGGAGGTGAGAACAGTCGACTACTCCCAGGGGTACCTGACAGTAAAGATAGATTTAGAGAGCCAACGTTTTTCTTCGACAAAATATCTCCTTTTCTCTATCCGCCTTGGGTAGAAGCACCCCCTCATCAGTTGAAAAGAGCCATGTTGGTCAGGAGAGTTCATTTTGTTGGTAGCAATGAGACTGCAACACTTGTGTTGAATAGTCATTCGTGAACCGGCGATGCGAAGCAATGACCAAAGGAGCCTCTGTTACTAGGAAAATTGCGCCCTCTCTTGGTCACACTCAGGCCCATTCCAAAGAGGTACTTGGATTGATGAAAAGTGCAAATTACCATAATGCTAAACCAAAAAATACAGGTTGTTCCAAGCACTTACAAAAATGACATGGAAACAAAATAAGTGCAACCTCAGGTAGATTGTATAACCCAAACCACATTGACAGTATTACTAACCTGTAGTGAATGAGGGATGTTGTAATGGAGTCCTAGATATTGACCAATCCAGCTGGCAAATAGAAAAACAAGAAACTGACATTGAAATACACCACCAGACATTTATGACACTCGGAAATCTTATTATATACAGCATCTTGGAGGTTTTACCTGTTTCTTCTCAGGTGTTGTCCCATAATCTCCCCCTACAGCTGGGCTCCCTCTGAGTGCTTCCACATTATCAAACAAACCTGCGACTGGCGGGGCACCAGTTTTGTCCTTGGGAGTTCGTGTAACAGCTGGCCTGTTGAAACCAGGAAAGGGGATACTATTTTTAATTACGGGTTTTGTCCTTACACCGATGTTTATTACATAACTCTGCATACTCAGTGCTTGTCCAAGAGCTTGTGAAGAAAAGCACAAGCTTACTCGGGTGAGACTCGAACCCATGACCTCCTGCTTACAAGTGCAGATGCCTTAACCATTCAATCACTGAGCTTGCAAGTTCGGCTTGCTGGTCCGAGTCAGATGTAGCAGCAGGTACTGAAAGTCATTTTCAAAGGATATACTGTAAAACCAATTTCAAGAGTTAATTAAACTGCAGGAGAAAAAGATTTGGCTTCACTTACAAACAAGCAAATGACAGTCAGTGTAAAGTTAATGTATTCTTGTTCAGCACTGAACAAACTTGGGCATGTCTGAGTCAACCTGGCTGAGTTCAGAAGCAAGATATAGATCTATGTGAAGAGGCTCTAGCCGAGGTAGCCACTGGCTTAATCCCGCTTCCATTGGTTCATGTGTTATCGTTCGCTGCAGCCACAACTTTCTGAACCAGCCTTAGCGAATACTAAATAGGTACTAGTCTTGCTGCATACTTCTATACCTCTGGGATATCCTACTGTCACTTCTCCCGATGTTGGATCCACTGTCTCTAGGACCCAAGGTAGATGGCATCAACCCTTTAGGTGGACTATTCCTTGATGATGACCATAACCTGCTGCTGGAAGGCTTAAGGGGTGACAAAAAAGAGGATATGAGGTTAAGGTTCATGCAGTGTTTAACAGGTTCCCAAACTCTACCCTTGACAATTCGTTCTTGACAATCTTTATGATAGCAAGAAACTCACCGACACAGATGGACCCATCTCACCCATCAAGTATCCAGGGAGAAACAGGTTGCCATGGGAACTGGGTCCTTGATGGCTTGACCCCATGGAGGTCGGTGACCCCAAGGTCATGGGTTCTAGACTGCTAGAATGACCGTAGCTTTGGGACATCGAGTGGCTTAAGCTTGGACCTTTGTGGAGGAAAATAATGAAAACATGTTTGCAAACAGGAGGAGACACATGTTCTAGGATAGTGGAAGTGTTTTTGTACCCTCCGAACAAGCTAAAGGCTCCAACATGTTGTCCACTATGCACTAGACATGGTGGAGGATTTCAAAGTACAAACTGGGGGCACATGCACCATGCATGACGTTAGTCATGTTAGTCATGTCATGTTACTAGGCCTAGTTCCACTATGTCCACTGGCACTGGCTGGTCAGTACATCATTCCTTTTAATTTGAACCCCTTGCAAATCTCTGTGAAGATTTCCAAGACTAAAATAGCTTAAAACTTTGGATATGATAAGTAGATCTTTGTATCATCAGTTGATCTTACGGCACAATATTTATCAATGATTTTTGCTTTCTGCCAATCACCTTTTCTTCGGGCTTAAATTAAGTTATTCTCAGTTGTGAAAGATTACTTTAGAAAAGGGAAGTAAAGCTGGAAATGCATGCAAAATCGACCAATCATGCAGAGCAACTGGGCCATTGATCATGCAGATTGGGCGATTGCACCCAACGCTCAAAAATATTTGGTTTGCCGCCTAGAAACAAAATTACACAAGTACTGAAGTAGGCTCTACATGCCCTAGGCAGGCTAGGCCACAATTCAAATAAAATGTACATCATGTACACGACGCAGGCTACATTAAGGAGTCAACTGTCCCTTAAACTGGGTAGAAAACAGTTCCACTATCCAACCAGCAAAAATAACTTTAAGGTGAACCAACCGATGCAAGAAATTCAAAGCCCGGCATATGCAACGTATACCACCCAACATTCCACCGTCTGTTTCCGACACCATTCTGACTATCGCGTGGACAACAAACACGCTAGAAATCCCAAATGTCGCCCGTACTTGTTTGTATCTTTACTTTTAAGAGTTCTGTAATACTCACTATAATATTCCATATGACCGTCTTTTAAGTTAGATGATTTACTTGTCCGACAAAACACAATTTCTAATCCAATTTGAATTCTTGGGGGTATTTTTGAGACGAGAGGGCCAGCAACTGTGCAATAGACCTGTCACGAGAGGGCGTAGTACGAAAAGCCTGCTGCAGGTGCGGTCAATCACGAACCATTTGGGTTAATCACAGGTTGCAGGTGTCCGTGTGCGAGTTGGACGGGGCAGGAGGGGGTCTCGGATGCAGACTTTTCTTTCAACGGTTTGCAGAGTGGTGGTTCAGGGGATTCATTTGAGGTCTGACGTTTGAAGACTTGAACACCACGTCGTAAAAAGTTAAACCACAAAATTTGCCTGATCTTTTGAGAACGTGACCGTTTCATAAAGCAAAAGAGATGGGGATCATTTCACAAAACTTGTAGATATTAAGTCAATTATTTTAAAAGTAGTCAAGCATCCCTCTTATGAAGTTGTGTATCTTTCTGATGAAAACTTTTAAAAATCCTTGCTGTGATCACATTTCTAGAAACTTTGTTTAGAAATGCAAATGGTTTATGGCTGTTATCTGGTTAAGTCCTGGCTCAGTGATACAGCGCGATTAAATCTCAACTGTGGCCACACACACACACGAAAGCCCAGACGTGATTAACTCGTAATAGGATGACAATCTCTTTATAGGTACAAGAACCCAGACTTATGACATGATCCATGTGAAATAATAAATTGAGAACTAAATAAGCTTAAGTTCTTAGAACGCTGTGCGTACTGTTTGGAGGAATCTTCTACCCCAACTTGACTATCATAAAAGCCTCTGTCGCAATAAGGTTAGGCCTCTACATTATCAAGGATTAACTTTGAAGAAGATGCTTACTCGAGCCGCGTTTTGCCACTTGCATTGAAAAGTTATCAACAAAGGAAATATACCAAGCAAGATATGGGACGGAGCTGTACCCCCCCGCACATATCCAATCCCTATACACACCCGGGAGTATTGTTACCTAACCCCCCCCCCGATGTCTGTAAAGAATTCCTGAGATTCTGATCAAACAATGACCAACACAAAGGTGGGGGGTCCCATATCTTGCTTCATACGAAAGGGAACATCACAAACACTGTCGGGGGGGGTGGAAGGGGTAAAAAAAACATGGCTGGATTATTACACTTCGTACACTAAAATGCATTTTGACAAGAGGTGAGGAAATATATCCTCTAAATATGCTGAAATTTGTCTTCAATTTAAGGACAGACAAAAATCGAAATGCAACACTTCTTTTACTTAGCATCACAATTATGCCCTCTGTTTTACAGCCCACACGTGATTATAATAATAATCCAATTCCACGTATGGTTTAATTATATTATGGTCTGCGAAGGAGCAGGACTTGGATGCTAGATAACTTGCTTCAGTGCCGTTAAATTAATCCAATTTTGTTTAAAAAACCTGGCATCCTGTCACGAAGATTCGTTTTCCCCGCCCCTAATTATTTTAATTAATTAGGGACGTCTCGCCATCGCCAATGAGCGATGAGTCATTCGGTGCGTGCGCGTGCACATACTACGGGCATGCAATGTCGTTGGAGGGCGTACAATACACGTGGCGATTTTCAGCAATTATTTCAGTTGACTTCAGTTTCAATAAAAGGAAGAGCAAGAGACGAAGTGGTTTATCAGTTTGCTGGACCTAATTTCGATCAAAGCATCGCCTTAGAATCTAGGGTAAGAATGTATTTCTTATTTGGTCAGTGTGCCTATTTGCAGTTGGCAAACTGTGTGGGTTAAAATCGGCGAGATCTGTCAAACTTGCTCAACCACTGACTCCAAGACAACCAGAATCGTTGACCGTGATTCCTGGAAGACATGGCCGGTGTTTCCCGGGGTCAAGGCGGTCGCTATTGTTCCGTTGTTCGTCCTTGGGCCGGCGTTCAACTCATCAGCTCAGTGCTAGCACAGCTGCGGGACTTAGATTTCTCCAAAAGAATCTCTTATTGTTGACTCTCTTTGTGTCGACAAAAACCTGAGATTTTGAGCGGTTTCAGGGATAGAGTTGAATTTAACTTGAAATCCTCAGGGAAGATTTATCCAGGTTATTATTGGCATGACAGAAACTCTTTGATGTTTTTTTTGTCTGCAGTATACAAAGAACTTTGTGGATTGACTTCGTACCGGGACAGCGAGTAAGCCATACCGACAATTCTCTGATAACATGTAATAGGAATAGCATTCGTCACATTAAAGTCCTCGGAAGTGTTGGATTCAGGTAAGACTGTTTAATTTTTGACTGGGATCTTTTTAAAGAATTTTATAATGTTTCTGGCATAAACTGTTTGTAATCTTTAAAATATAGACAAAAATCAATTGCTACTGTGTGAAAATTAGTCTCAGTTTTTTAGATTAGAAAATGGAGAGTGCATTGACTGTCTCAAGACTTGTCAAGAGGTTTTAATTCTTTGATGTGAAAAGCAAAAGTTTTAATTCTATTTATCAGTGAAACTGAAATAATTAGAAAGTGATTGTGAGTCATGTACACATGTATCTCCATGGTAATCCAGTTGGGGTATCCATGGCATGTGAGCAGTCCTAGAGTCACTGACAAATATCTGTAAGTTTCAACACTGGAGTTGAGGTCCTGGACTGCAAAATAAATCATACATGTTAGGAATTGTTTTGAGACTGGAGTGGCCGAAGTTTTGTTTCCCTGACATTTATAACATACATGTAAAGTGTTAAAAGTAAATCACTGCTGTGTACGTGGGCTTAATCATGAAGTTAGTGATGTACAATGTATTCAGTACTGTCAAGAGAGCAAGGACAAATTATGATCAATGGGACAGAAAGTATTTATCCTGCCGATTGAAACTGAAAATTTTGCTCATTTCCTGATCGAAATTACAGTTTTCGGCATAGGAGGGATGTGCCAAAAAGTGCAGATTGCCTAGGAGAAGGAAGGATGTGTGTCTGTTTTTGTCTAGACAATGATTCTGCCTTGCATTACAGAAAAAAAAATGGGTTGAATTTTGACCTACGTCATACATGTACATGTACATTGCTGTGCCAAGCACTGGACGTGTACGGGTTCATACACATGTACATGTGTACAAAGTAATTCCTCAAACTGCCCCCCATGTGAAATTGATCAACTAACTACTGGTACATGTACCAACAATTACTGAAAAGTCTTCATCTGATATTATCTTCCTGTCCTTTTTCACCCAAGGTTAAAAACTACATGTACCAGTGTGTCCGTTCTGATAAAATGTTTGAAACTGTATACCCCATGCTGCTCTCAACGGAGCCCATTTTTCCACTTTGTCCAACATTTTGGAAGGAATACAAAGAAATTGTTAGAGATTTATAAATGTAACAATTGGGAAGTTTTACATTTTACAATCAGCAAAAATTACTAGGCTATATAATTTAGTTTGCCATAACCCAGACTTGTACTGTTGGTGCATGTATGAGTACAAGTACAATATAAATGAGGAGAAAGAGAAATGGAGTGGGTGCGTGTAAATTTCTTTTATGCCTCAGTCCTTCAAGTAACATTATTTACCCTGTGAAGTAAACTTGATATGGCCCTGTTTACTTTTAGCCTACTGTGTAAATTGTCCAAAGTGCTTTGTCTCGAACAATGGAGAACAGGCGGCACCTCACAGAGAAACCAGTCTCTCACTCTGTCGCGACAAAGAATGTTAAAAGTCAGCTGCCTGGAGTGAAGATTTGTTTGTAGACTTCAAAGACTTCAGCCGGTTTGCTCAAAAGTTATTCGTTAACAGTCACAGTATGACTAATGCACTAACTTTAGAGACAGAGGTACTATACTATGGGACTTTTGTCAAGTTGACATTGTTAGTATTTGAGTAGTCTGCAAGTTCGTTGAACCCCTGTGCAGGTATACATGCACAGGTACAGGTAGTTGAGGTGTAATGTTAATTAATAACAGGTGTATAGCACTTGATAGCTGAAGATGCATTCCGATTATTCCATCATCAAGCCTTGATTCTTTGGAGGATTATGGAGAACTGTCGAGCCAATTGTTCATATTCTGGAAAATAAAATACAAAATTCATAGTTTTTCAGCTTGATTTCCTGCACAATGCTGGATTTGGGAGGAAAGAAGGTTGAAGCAAGGATTCCTTCGAGTAGATGAACCATCATGGCAATTGTAGCACTGCCAATGGAGATGTTCTTACATTTTCTTAATAAAATGATAATTATTTCAAGGGAAACGTTCTTCCCTCAACTCTAGAAAATTTGTTGACATGGAAGTGTCAAGTGTGTCTAAGCGCCTTCATGACTGGGCCGTGGGCTGTTTTTATAGATTGATATCGTACATGTATGGTTCCATATCGGTTAATGTACTGGTAACAATAGCTTGTTGCTTTCAGTCAAGATGTTCCAGGGTTTACTTTACATAATATTACCCCAAGCCAAAGTTTATTCCTCTCTTTGGAGTAACATTTTCTTTTTACATTTGTATCATTACTTTACAAGATACTTCCTTATTGTTGCAATGTTTTAATTTATCCTTTATTCATGAATGTATCCATTTTACGTATGGGGTGATCTCTGGTAACTAACAATATCTAATTGGTCACAGCTTCAAACTTCAAACAAATGTACACACTGGCAGATTGTATACCGTACTTTAAAGAAGAACACATAATGTATGCATGCATCAGGTAAACCTCCTTTAGAGAGACTCACGTACTAGAAAAACTTCTTCAATTAACAAGAAAAGCGCTTCAGAAAACTTGTCATGGAAGGTGGATTATTCTTAAAACGATGTCAGTGGAACAATCAAAGATGAAAAGCTATTGTCCATTCTGCTTCATTGTATTCATAATTATGAGAGTGTGTAGGTACTGTACCGGTACATGTCTAAACAGGAGACAGACAGACTTATGATAGACTACCTTATCAAACTCATGAGTTTACCTCAAGATGTACTTTGATGTTTCCAAAACTACCCACAAGTATGTGTAAAACCACAGTGTGACATCGTTTTTGTCACCTGTCAGGCTTGAAGTGTACCAGGTACTCTAAGCATTGTGGTTAAGCCAACCATTTGGTGCACAATATGTGGCAAATTAAAGGGGACCCCCCCTCTATTGTGTCTTCTTTTGTGTTGA